TGTGACGATAACAGGTCAATGTTTACAGCGGACAATGTGTGCAGCCATTTAGTTTCTGCTTCCTGGTCGATATATTTTTTCGATCGCTTGACGTGTGTTTACAGAACTGGTTGGAAAACTTTGGTTTTCTGATTTCCTTCAGTTACAGAAAGAGGGTTTAAGAGGTATAAAAAATGTTGGGAACCCTTGCATAAAAGAGAGAACTAAGTTCTGTACAAGATTCCTTGAGAGCAAACAAGTTCATTCAGAGGAGGAACACATCATCGGCGAGAGATGCAAGGAAAATAATACTGAATTCTGGCCCGCCATGCCAAGGAATGTCAGAAAACCATAGTTTTAGCCGTTTTAGACTGTAGTATTAGACACCTTAAGATCGTCCGGTTCCGGGCACGGGTAAGGGTAGGACTACTCGTACCCGTACTCGATTACACACCGGGGAGACCAATTAAACTTAAGATACACCGTGTAACACCGGGTACGATCTGGACGAAATTCCTGCGCAAAAGGCTGGCCTCACAGCAAAAACTTCTCTTGCAAGGTCTATTTTGTATTTCATACGCCATCTGAACATTATCTGAAATAAGCTAAAAACATTTTTCTATCAATTTAATTTACTATTTTTCGCTTTTCTCACAATATTTTACAAATTTGGAAGAAACATCGTTTACTTCTATCAAAACATTTTAATCAAGAGGTATCCTATCAAGTCACCATAAAGTATGTAATTTAAATTTTGGTGTTTTTCATGGTGGTTCATGACTTGTTGTATTTAAAATCGAATTCAAATGTGTCTCAACCAAAATTTGAACAAGAGACTACACCTCAGTCATCGCGTGGTATGAAAAGCAGCACGACCTTTTGACAGGCAAAAATTTCTCCATATTTGTCCTTCAACAAAACTTTTTCGTAATCCCAAAACGCTTCAAATCAGAAAAACAAGTGTTTATATAAGAATCTGGATACCATTCTGGTCTAGTAAGCAAAGATAAAGACCATAAAAACTTCCCCGTTTCTACATTTTTACCGAGCGTGAACTCACTTGTAGACCACTGATTACCCCGGAAAACGTGTAGCTTTTACGGGAAGGACGCGATTACGTGTTAATTCAATGAATTCAAAATGGCGTTAGCCGTACCCGTGCGTGAAAATCGGGGTATCTTAAGGTGTCTGTTGTGGAATTTTCCCCTCTAGTTCAGTCAGGATTGCCACTTCAAAACACTAGACCTACAAGTGATCCTAAGCAATTAACTTACCATTTAGAAAGTTATAAACATTCAGCGTTCACTTTGTTGAAAACAAAGTTAATACTTGGATGATGCTTTTACCTGGAAAAAGGAAAAAATCTATTGGTAATGAACATATCATAATCCCTACAGATGGAACAAGAGTTGGGGATGTGTCCACAATAGTTGTCATGCCATTTAATAAAATAAAAGCAAACTCAATATATATGTAGTCAGTGATTTCAGTTACTGTGAAGCATTAGGATAATCGACAATGAGCCCAAGTCATTTTTTGTACGGTGAGGTTTCCCTCTGGTGAGTTATCACTACCCCTAGATTTCGGGCAGATATTTTACAGGTGGCCATTGTTTGAAAACGTCAGTTTGGTTGCCTAAGAAATGAGCAAAGAACAGCAACTTTTGCCTAATTCTTCCTCAAAAATGATCTCCCATCAACCATGTACAAGCAATGAATTATAATCTAACTACGCTAAGTAGATTACAAATAACGCCCGAATCGAGTAACTGAAAACTGAAGAGTTCAATCCTCGTTATATTCTGGATTAGAATTATATTTTTTTCCATCCTTTTTCGCAATTTTGTATAATATGATTAACATGTAATTTTCGTACACGACTTGTACTTAATGAATAAACGATTGGTGAAACACATAAGTGTGATTTTCTTTTGGATCGTCTTTGATCCCTTCCCAATTTCAGTGATTTTAAAATACTTTGGACCACAGTTTTCATTTTTGCTTTAAACTGAGTCATAAATTGGCAGGAACAGTGGTTGATATCTAGGGGGGTATCCAGGGGTTAATTAGAGAGACTTAACTCCCTATCTCACAATTAATGATAATCAAACATTCTGATTTTCTCCTAAATATAAAAAAAAATAAAGTAGACGCAGCTATAAACCCCACCCACCCGTATCTAAGGTGTTACCTGCAGTACATGAGCACAAACAATTACAGTGAGAACAATATTAACGTCAGTCATGCACCACCTATTACTGAGACGTCATGTGCTCCAATCACAATTAACCCATTATTTGGCCCCGTGGGTTATTTGTCCTTGGCCTGTTAAGCCTTGGTAATGTAGTCCAGGATCATTTCCCCTTCTCTCCCCTCCATCGAAAAAGTATCAAATATTGATTGTCAATCCTCGGGGTCTAGCCAAATCCTCCCTCTAAAGTCACCTGCTTGGTGCCATATTTTAGTCATCTGGAGTTAACGCCTTCAAGTGTAAAGACCAGTGATGTGGTTATTTTAAAGCAAAATACCAATCGACTTCGTCCGTTTTTCTTATCTATTATATAAGTTAGTATTTTTGTGTTCGATCATGCTAATCACATCCGTTAGAAAATGAAAAGTTCACGAAGACAATGAGCTGATTATCACGCACAGGTCAGTTGCCGTTTAAAGATAAAAGCTTCAGTTGTACTTCGATCGATCTTGCGGTGAAAATCCAGCCCTTCCAATGGGATGGACACGGCCTGACGTTCCCTTTAAAACAGAGTAAAATGTTTCATTACGGCATGTTCAAATCCGTCATTGCTAAATTTTATTACTACAATTGTGACCTACAAAACCGAAATACGCTTACTTTAGTTGGAACACTTAATTATTTTGAGTAAACTGCTGTAAAGTTCTCCATATCTTCTTAGGAGATCTTTGGAAAACATGGAGGAAAGCCTTCGGCTCGCGATTTAATAATCTATCCTCGTGTTCTCTCGACATCCCAAGTGGCTTTATCTCGTTATGGAGCCCGGGAAAAATGTGTTCCATTGCTTTTAAGACATAACTAGTTACATGTGGGCTCTTAACCTGATAAAGCATCCGCTTGGAAACTAATTGACTTTGAGACGACAAGTACTATGTTAATTCAGTTTATATTCTCTTGGTTAATTATGCTAAAATAATAAATAGTACATAAGCTGCGAGGTATTCAGGGCGTTACCAGGATAACAAACCATGCCATACTACTAACTGAAGACGTCATGCACTTTTTTTACAATAAAACCATCATTACCAAATGCGGCTTATTTGTCCTTAGCCGTCTATTAACCTTTGAAAGTGAAATTTTTGCGAATTCCGAGAAATCAGCAAATCTTGACATCAGTAAAAAAAACTAGTCCCGTGTAAAGGTTTTTTTTTTTTTATGTGGGGTAAAAATACTAAATTAAACAGGAGGTAACCTTTTAAAGCTTGCAGTTGATTCATAAATTTTCGAATACAAGGAAGAACCCCGCCATATAAAATTTCATCATCACTCGCGTGATAATTTTGGAGCAAATTACCGATCGACTCCGTCCGTTTTTCATATCTATTACATCAGTTAGTTTATTTCCTTCTTTGAACATACAAATCACACCAGCTGGAAAATGAAAAGCTCTCGAAGACAATTAGCTGATTATCACGCGCGGATAGCTTACTGTTTAAAGAAGAAGCTTCAGTTGTTTGGTGATCGATCTTATCATGAAAATCCAACCGTTTCAAAGAGATGAACACTGAGGCCTGACGTTTTCTGTGAAACAGAGTAAAATGTTCTATTTTTGAAAGCTCAAATCAATCATTTTTTTTTATAGACGTTCGACGTACAAAACCGAAATAAATTGACTTACTTTTTTCAGTATTTTTACTGACAAAACACTACCAGTATTTTTACTGAGCTATTTAACGACTATATAACGTTGTTCCTGCGAGGAAAATTTTTTATCTAAGTTATGCGTCGATGGATACCGCTGTGACACTATTTTCATGGGCAAGAGCTGGAAATACCGTATCTTCGGATCTATATAATTTGCTGATTTAAACAGTTAAATGCTCTCTCTTCAAGAAAAAAAAATTCTTTTTAGCTTCATGATGCGCCGATCACATCTATTAAGATATTTTTGGAAGGAAAACTTATGTTTCACATAGCGCACAATACTGCAATAATGTGAGATGTTTATCGTCTTCTGCTGTCTTCCTATAAGTGTCATGGCAGGAGCCTAAAACATAACGTACTAGTGACTGTAAGCCGAAAACCACAAAAGGTGAGAACTGAACTGTGTGTCGAGTGAAACATCGGGTCAAAATTGGGTCAAGATAGGAATTCTATTGCTACACTCGCTCACTCACTCACTCACTCACTTATTCACCCAGTCACTCACTCACTCACAACATCTTGATAACATTGGTGGCTTCGCCTCCTACATGAGGCAGTAGGCACAAAAACCCAGCCGTTATTTTGAGGAATTTTTGATGATATGTACGTAAAATATGATGAGGAAAACTTGTAGAATTTTCATCACTATCTGGCGATCGCCCGGTGTTAGCGCTCTCTAATTGAGTTTAATTTACAGCTTCTTAGGACATTTCTGTTGTTAGTTTTCAAAAAAAAAATTTCCTGCAGGAAATTTCGAGAAAAATCGTCTGTAGCTGACGATGATGTTCGTAACATCGAAACATGTCTTCGAAATTAAAAAATGTCGTACTCTTCTTGAAGATAACGACTGCAGGTAGACATATTATCCTGCATTGCATATTTTAGTTTAGGTTTATTCCCCCCTCTCCCTTCCCTTCCAAAAGGAAGTTGACTGTTTATGAGACAGTTCAAGATCTCCCTGATGTCATCTACGTATTTCGATATTTCAGCCATATTTGAATTGACACCTTTAATGGTAAGATCAGTGATGAGGTCATTTCAAAGCAAAACAATATCGCTTCAACCAAATCACACCAGCTAGAAAATGAAAAGTTCATGAAGATTCCATTATCACGCACATATAACTTACTTAGACCAAAGGTCAAGTTGCACTGTGATCAATCTTGTGATGCGATTCCAACGAATCTAAAGGAATACAGACCGAGGCCTCACCCTGTAAAACAGATCAAAAAGTTACATTTTTGCATGCTCATTCATTATAAAAGTTTGATGTACAAAACCGAAATGCATTCACCCAAATCGGAACATTTGATCATTTAGGGGAAATTGCTGAATTACTCTATATATCTTCCATTCAGAGTAAGAAAAAAGTTTATGAATTTCACTATTTCTTTCTTGATTTTCTCTCTCGAAAGATCTGCGTAACCTTGTCTCGATAACACGATGTTTGGCAGTTGACTAAGAATTATTTAGAGGGTAACTCTAAACAAATCAACTTTACCTGCACCCGTGATACAAAAATTTAACGGCCGGATACAATATACTTTAAGTTCTAAATGGCATTTAAAACCATTAAACCGACCTTGTTGTTGGTGATTGTCTTCCCCTTTTTAGACAGTAGTTTTCAGTTTTTTTTCGTTATGAGATACCACGATTGTCTTCCACCGATCACTGCATCAAAGAGAACATAATCGAGGTTTATTCCTTTTTTATATGACACTAACAGATTAAACTGTCTCGTTTGTTTTGAAACAGGCAATACTTACCACGACCTGTAAACATAGGTGTTTCACCTTTTAATTAAAGGAAGGCTTCTTAGCCAGTCCTTTTGGTATTTTTCCATCAAATATCACCCGTCACTTACATCAAACAGTGAATAGAATATGATCTGCTTCTTCTTGTCACTTTCGTAGTTTTTCTGCCCTTTCTCTTGGCCGGAAGCCCATTTGCACTTAGAAAACGAAAACCTCAGAAACTACCTTATTTTGATTGAATCATCAAACCCACTTGATTACCTTTGAGTAGACCAGAAACGTTCAAAGTAGCTGTCAATGAGATGTTCAGTCTACTCCTGTCTTAAATAGTATCATTGGACAACTCTACTTTCTATGACAATCCTTGAGACATAAACAGAAACATAAAATGTCATTATTTAATTAAAGCTATTAGAAATGACACTATTTAACAAATGGTAAATACCACAGCTACACTCTTGGGTTATGGATGCACGCGAGAGGTTGCTAAGCACGAAAGAAGTGTAAGAGTCGCGCGAGACGATAGCCGAGAGCCACTCTAGGCTATTAATATTTGCCGAGAAAAATTATGGATAATACATGGGCGCGAGTAGATATATATGGAGTACTCTTCGAGTGTTCAAATCGATAGCTTGTTGCGGCGACTGCGGCGCTCGCTGTTTAGAAATCAATACACAGTGCAGAGGTATTCGACTCGTGTCGTTCTCGTTCGTTTTACTCGAACCATACGGATATTTTAAACGCAACCAAACTTGTACAACGGTGAAAACTATGATAAAAGGCAAACAAGAGCGGTAGTAAGAGAGAAACCTAAGGTAACAAGCAAAGACTACAACTAAAACATGATTCAAAAGGCAAACACTCACAATCTGTGCTCCTTAAAGCGAACGACCATATGCTACAAATAACGCGATACATTTATAAACTTAAGCATGTCGTGCAAGTGTCACTAAAGGTCAACGGACAAAAAAAAATGAGAGATCTCAAATATGAAACGGCGATCAAAACACAGCTCACGAGAGAGCGCAGCGAACGAGTGAGATGTCGAGTTGAATATTCGAAGAGAAATTCCATATCTACAAGCAACCATATATATTTTTGTTTATTTCGTAAACCCAATAGCCCTTTATTGAGAAGAAAATCCGACTTTGTTGATGAATATGAAAAACATTTTAGGGTTCAAAGAGTGCCTTGGCGATAAGGCAACGAGGCTCAAGATGTCAAATCCTCTAGATGTCAATTTTCGTTTTCAGCCGCGAGAAATTCCATTACCCAAGCCATTTAATAATCGATTTAGCTACTGAGATCAAAGAACTCGCCAAATTTCTTCCTCCCTCAGAGCCAGCCACAATTTTATGCAAAATTCTTCTTTTTATTTTAATTATTCCATTTTTTGTTCAGTTCAAGCTAGTCTGCAGTAATATCATTCCTTATATTCCGCCATTTTGTTTGATTGTTTAGCAATCGATCGGAAATGGATTGGGGAGGAGTAATGAAATAAGTGCTAAGTTGGGTGAAGAAGAAACGAGAATACCCTGATCAAAAACTAAAAGCTTTTATTATTATTTTTTTTTATCAACCCATCGATTAGAGCAAAGAATGAGTCCAGGAGAAACGTTTCGACAAAATTGAAATCTAATAAAGTCTAGTTGAAAGTGAGGGGTATCGAATGGTCCAATTCAATTTACAAGTGCTGGCAAAATTTGGCCTCTGCTCGAATTGCCCGCAAAAATAAGGCGGCTGTCAGAAATGACGGTTACAATCAAAGATATTTGAAAATACGCGATAATTGTCAAGTTCGTTGCGTTTAGTGCGCGCGCGATCGTCGTCATTAAAAAAGAATATTCTTAGCTTTAGCAGGAACTTCCTAGCATATCTGCAACCTGACGCGGGTAAACTCTACTTTGCGGACAGCTGAGGTGATTCTACTCTCTGGAAGACGTCATACCTTGTAGGCAGGATTTGTGTCAGTATTACCGTGAGGATTTCTCCTTTCCCTTTTCCTTTTGGTGACTTTGGTCATCCATCCACTTTCCTGCTCGTCTGGTTGGTTTCCAACTTCGCTAGTTGGCACTTTAGGGCTTTTTGGGCGTTTTTTTGCCCCTTTTTCTTTCTTGTTTTCACAATGGTGTTGTCCTTGCCAAGGACATTTGACATCCGTTGTGAGCATTTCCCTGTAGGGATGCTCCCTCAGGATGTGTTTAGTCTTATCTATGCCTTTTTGTGGAGGACTCTCCACACAAAGTTGCGTCCATTCATGCCGTCCCGAATCGTGTTGCCCATGTAACTTTTGATGTTGAGGAAGCCAAAACCTACTATGAAAGGCTTGGCGAGATTACTATTAACGGGGTAACGTGTGAGGTCATCAAGCCCCCACCGGCCCCCCCCCCCCAAGTCACCTTAGTTAATGTAATATTTGGTACTCCTTCGAGGGTCCTATTGAGCCAATATCTGCTGCTTTGAGCCCTTCTGGGGATGTTAAGAGTGTCAGCTTCCAGAAATGGTCTGCGAGGCCAGCAGTGTCCACTGGGACCCGCCTGGTCCGCATGGTGTGTCGCAGGGAAATACTCAGGTTCATTGTCATCAATGGAGTCAGGTGCAATGGAAGATATATAGAGTCAGGGTAGCCCCTCCGTTGCGACATTTGTCGTGCGGTAGGACACAAGTCCTCTTCCTGCCCCGACAAAGGCAAATGCTTAGGTGTCACCAGACTGGGCATTTTTCCCGAACTTGTTCTCTGGCTTGGAGTCACCATACTGCTGTTTCGAGCCCAAATCAAGATCGCGGGCAGGCCGCTCCTGAGCTTGCCCCTGGCCCTGAAGTTAATGCAGATGCTCCCCACGGGTCCGCTCACGCGAGCGCCGTTGAGGAGACTGCAGCCGAGAGTCATGCAGCCGCTCCGGATGTCAGTCCTGAACCCTCCGATGGTGTTGTGGTGGTCGAAGAGGGGGACGCCCCTAGTCGTGTTGTCAGCACTGGTGGTTATCTGATTGATAAGGAGACCCCTGCCCCAAGTGGGTCCGTAAAGCCTGATCTGTTTGATGAGAGTTTCAACAGTATTGATGAACCAAATTCTGTTGGTGAATCTAGTAATTGTAGTGAAAACTTAGTCAATGAAACAAATAATAGCACAAATAATAGTACAAATAATAGTAGAAATAATAGTAAAAATAATAGCACAAACAATAGTATAAATAATAGTACAAATAATAGTACAATTTATCTAGGAGAAGACCCTATTCTAAGTACGGTTACTAGTCTAAATAACTTTGGAAGTATTGCGGATGAACCTTTTCCTCCATGTTGGGCCGACGCCTCCCAGTTGGAGGACGATGAAATGCCCCGGACCCCTGTTCCTTTTAAAATATCTGCTTCTGAAGTCTCATCTGACGGTGCAACTGGCCTTGCGCGTCCCTCCAGGTCGCCCAACCCTCGTAAAAGATCTTCAAAGAAGGCCCCTGGCCACCACTCTATTCGTAAGGGTGTGACTGCGGCTGCCAGGTTGGCCACTAGTCAGGGTGTTTCTAAAAAGAAATAATGGGCACTCTTCCCTTTTTTCTGATGGCTTTGTCCATACTTACTTTAAATTGTAATGGGATCAGGGATCATTCCAAACGGATCAGCCTCGTGTAGTGGTTGCGGATCCTACCTGCGAGTGCAGACGTTGTCTGCCTCCAGAGACCCATTGTTCCTCCGTGTCTGAATGTTCCTCGTGGTTCTCTTCCTCTGACTTTAATGCTGTCGCCTACCCTGGTTCTGTCCATTGCTGTGGTTGTGTAATTCTCTTTCGTCCCTCTTTGTCTTTAAATAATTCTTGGTGTGACGATGCTGGCCGTTATCTTAGTGTGAGTTTTCCTTTCTTGGTAAAGTGTTCCGTTTTGTGTGCCTATACGCTCCTAACTGCAACCCTGCGCGCGACGATTTCTTCGATAGCCTTCATACTCGGATTGATCCCTCGATCCCAACTCTTCTGGCCAGTGATTTCAACGCGGTCTTTGACAGGTCTCTCGACCTTCGCGGTTCAGACCCCGCCCGCACGTCCCGCGAGAGCTCCTCTGCGCTCAGCCACTTATTCCAATCGTGCTGCGTGATCGACATATGGAGGTACTTGTACCCCTCTTCCCCTGCCTTCACCTGGACTAGGTGGGATGGCAGTCTCGCCTCTCGTATCGACCTTTTTGTCGTCCCTTTTTCGTGGGTTTCTACTGTTCCTTCTTGTTCCGTCTATTGCTGCTCGTTTTCTGACCATCGTGGTGTTCTGCTCTCAACCTTTATCCCTGACGCCACCCCTCCTTGTCGTGGCTATTGGAAGTTCAATGCCTCCATCTTAGACGACCCTGGATATATACATCTCGTGACAGATGCTTGGCTTGCTTGGCGCAACTCCATTCCCCGCTTCCCCACGCTTGGGAAATGATGGGATGAAGGGAAAAGTCGTATCAAGGGTCTTACTGTACGTTACTGCTGCTGGAAGTCCTCGGCTTCCTCAGCTAATAGAGACACCCTGGTGAGACTAATTCAACATCTCTAAGACAAGCTCGACGCCGGCACTACCTCTTGTGTGAGCCCCTTCCAGTCAGCCCTCTCGCAAGTGGCTGCAATAGATTCCCTAGCCGCTAAGGGTGCACAAGTCCGCTCAAGGATAAGATGGGTGGAGGAAGGGGAATCCTCCTCAGCATATTTCTTCCATTTAGAGAAAAAGCGCTCCACTGACCGTCTCATCGCTGCGCTGCGAGATCCTGATGGCTCTATCGTGTCCTCTCCCTCTGCCTTATGTGCTTCCCTCCGATCTTTTTACTCTTGCCTCTTCCCTGCTTCGCCCACTGACCCTCTTATTCAATCTTCACTACTTCACAATCTGACCACCACACTTCCACGTGATCAGGCCAACCATTGCGAAGGCTCCCTCACACTATCTGAGGTACTTAAAGCCCTCAGAGGCATGGCTCATGGCAAAGTTCCCGGGTTGGATGGGCTCCATAGGGAGTTTTAAATGAAATTTTGGGATGTCATTGGTCCTGATCTCGTTACTGTCCTCAACTCTTGCTTTTCTTCTGGTTCTCTTTCCCTCTCGCAGCGCAGAGG